CCGTTGACTATTTTGGTACTCATCATACCAGTTGAATGTTTCCCCTTTGTTATGTTACACTTTACTTGACTTGACTTGACTTCACTTCATTTCACATCACACATCACACTTCACATTTCACATTTCACACTTCACTCTTCACTCTTCACACTTCACACTTCACACTTCACACTTCACTCTTCACTCTTCACTCTTCACACTTCACTCTTCACTCTTCCCTCTTCACTCTTCACTCAACCATGACCCATAAACATTAAACATGGATACCAAAAGACATGGGTCCATTTTCGGTTCTTTTTTTCTATCCGTGTACGAAGGTCTGTCCAAAACGTCATGGTCAAGGGTTCAGCGAATCTCAATCTCTTGTAATCTATGCATCTGTGCGTACACTCTGTCCGTATAATCTCCATTCAAAGAGGGAAAAAAACAGAACAGAGGACCCATCATACATACTCAATCAATCCATAGACTCTGGTATTAGGTACACACGCGCACACACACAGAATCCACACTACCTACATGCCACACTCCCTCCCTCCACGCATCGAATTTCACAACACCAATCCGTCCATACAAAGTACATCCATACATCCATACATACATCCATACATCCATACATTCATCCATACGACCTCACTTGGGCTCACTAGTCTAATATTCATCTACTCACCCATCCATCCATCCATCCATCCAATATCACAAAAGAAGAGATAGCAAAGGAATCCACATCTTGGAACACTAAAACTCTAGTCGCATTATTTCCCCGTGTACTTTTTTTTATTTCTCTTAAAATATAACAAAACCTATTATCCTATCCGACTCAACTACGACGACGACGACGATAAAGCAGAAGAACAAAAATACACATACATGTATACATCCTCCCAACTTCTCTAAAGCCTTCTTTTTCTCCTCACCTATTGTATCGCATGTATATCTCTTCACTCTCGAGTAAACAGGAGGAATACTAAGCAAGCAATAAAGGAAAAAAGAAGGCAAACTTAGAACCAGAACCTTGGAAATCGGAAATCCAAATCCAGTCACACTCTTGATACTCCCCTTCCCTTGCTTCTCCATTCATTTCGCCGTTTACTTTCTCTTCCAGCACAACCTCGTCGTCCTTCTTTTCTTGCTTATCATCTTCGCACCTTCTGCATTCCCGCATTCGTAGCAAAAATTAATTTTTGTGTGTACGACGTCGACCCAATCTTCCAATCCAATCGCATATGTCTTACAGTCCACCCACCCAGCGGGGTTAATCTTTTCAGAACAACTCAAAACACCAGGCAGGCAACAGAAGCGCCACACCACATTCTCACCCCCCCCCCCCCCCCCCCCTCGACTTAAATCTCACGACCGATTACCCCATATCTCCCTACTTGGGTTATTGCCTCTGTTACCTCATTCTCATTATACCACTCAAATATCGCAATCAATCATCTGCAAAACATAATTTCAAAAATTTACTGCGGTCAGAGATCCATTTCTGCAACTATCCGTCTACACCTGGATTATTGGTAGCCTTACAGTACCAAGTATCTGCATACTCGAGTTCGGGCTTTTTATTGAAGATTTTATTGTTTGTTACCCACCAATCCCGCCGTGTGTACAACTCTCACATCGTGAAAATTTGAGCAGGCGACGGCATTGATAATCACTTGATTGCTAACGATTTCTCTGATTTTCGCTAGAACGAAAACTTTCCACAAAAAAAGCTGACAATATCGAGATCGAGTCCAAAATTACATTGCGGCGAAGTTCGAGTCATCATTCCTCCACTTTCTACTCTCATCATTCGCTACATACATCAACTCTTCAAGTACCTCAAAAGTTAAACAACTCCACACCATAATAATACGTTGAACACAAACATACTCAATATGAGTGACCGATACAGCAGACACACACGACCAAGGTCACCAACCTACAATCCTGCGCGAGCAAGTCTCCCAGTCGATTTGTCATACAATAATCATTCTTCGGGATCACACACCCATCATCATGTCGTACCTTTATCTCGACACGAAAACCCTCGAAGTAGCAGCTCAAGCTTTAATTCTGCTCATGTTCCCATTACTACAACAACATACAAGGTCAAACCTGACCATCGTACTGCCAGCCGCACTCGCAGCAACACGGTTGATTCTCGACCCAATGCACATACCGTATTCACATCAATTCCAAAGCATCCAACGGTTGTTCATACTTCCGTTGTGAGACCTGCCAGTCCATCCATCAAGAACCCATATCGCGCTAGCCAGGAAGAATATTACACAATTCCAGCTTCATCTCGAAGTTCTCATCACCACAGCAGATATGCTTCTTTGGATAACGCCGATATGAACAGATCCTCTAGAGACTCCCACGGGCACAGAGAGCCGAGCCATCTTCGAATTGGTATTCCTGGTAGCAGAGACATCCCAGGTTATATTCCTACCCCATCAACTGCCTCATCATACATACCTACTCCAATCACTGCATCGTACTCGACTCCGGTATCTACTCCGTCGTACGCTACGACAACAACTACTACTACCAAACCTCGTGGGCCAGTACACACAGCCAATCTAGTACGTCATCCAGATACAGTTGCAGACGATTATGGAGAGGATGGTTATGGTTATACAAATCCCAAAGATTTGGTTACGTATGATTTGAACAACAGTCATCCAAGGCATACGCGTAGGGATAGTATCGACAGTAGAACAAGACCCGCTAGTGCTAGCCTGACCAACCCTCTTGGATTTGGAGAAGCTGTTCAATCTCCAAGATCTTATGATACCCGAGAGCGCGGCCCACCCCCATCTACACGTGGTTTTGACAGAATTCAAACATGGGACCCTCAACCAGCTTCCGCCAGAATTCCCGTTCCCCATGTCACACCTATTGAACCAATTCAACGTCCAGTACGTATGGATCCACCCGCGGGTTATGAGAGCGATGGACCTCAAAGACGAACTTCGACCAGGCGACCTGTTTCTATGTACCAAGATAGAGATATCACCAGGCACGTCCCTAGAGATGAATACTATACCCCAAGGGAGGAAGAAATGCGAGAACGAAAACCACATCACCGACAAGAGAGATATGATGATTCTGTTGAACAGCGTGGCTTTGGATTGCGCCCTGAGAGAACAGAAAGACAAGAAAGGCCTGCTAGTCGTGCCGAGAGATCAGAGAGACCGGCTAGTAGAGCAGAAAGACCAGAAAGACCTGAGAGAGTTGAGAGACATGAACGGTCCGATAGACACGATAGATCCCCAAGAAATGAACGTGAGGATGATCGTCGCGAGAAGAAGTCTAGCACGCATGAGAAGCTTGCAACGGGACTTAGTATTGCCTCTGCCGCTCTTGGTCTTGGAGCTATGGCAAATACCATGAAGCCTGATGATCGTGATGATAGAGATGACGAAAGAAGACGTAAGGATCATGGTGATGATTCACGCAGGAGACGTGAGCGTGGCGACAAGGAGATGGTGGATGCCTCAAATGAACGTCGCCACACTGACTCCCGGGACTCATCTGAATCCGACAGACCAGATCGCAAGGAAAGAAGGGAAAGAAGTCATCGCAACGAGAGAGATTCTACCGAATCGGTCGGTAGAGAACCCAAGGAGAGACACCACAGAGACAGAGGTGAAGTCACACCACCATTACCTCCTCGACGCCGCGAAGAGGATGATATGCCTGATTCGAGGAAAGAAAGAAGCCGAGAAGAAATGCCATCAGCTCCACGTGATGTTGCTAGAGATGACAGAGACAGACGTTCTCCGGATAACGACTTTGTTGACTTGAGTGGTCGGAATCCCAAGGAAAGATTATCCTCGCCAGATGATCGTCCTCGTAGCGACGCAGCAACCACTGGTGCTACCAACGATAATAATTCAGACACGTCAGATGAAGCAACAAACCGCCATCGCAGACCTAGACGTATTTCTGGAGCCGCGGCTGCACCATTCAATCCAAGAGATACCATGGATCTGAAAGCATTGAAAGCTGCATTGGCCGATCAGGATGCACCTGCTGATAAAGAGCCTGTGCCAGTACTAGCACCTAAACAATCTGCTCAGGAACCTACACTAGCACCATCGAACAAGCCACTTGGTAGAAAGTCTATCACCAAAGATATGGGTGAGGTCGCTGAATTGAGAGCCGAACTCAACCGTGAAGAGCGAGGTCGCCGTGAATCATCAGCACCTACCACAGGTGAAGCCAAACAAGCACGAGTTGTTTCACCACCAAGAGAGAAGGTTGAAGAGAAGCCTGAGAAGCCTGCCATTAAGGGTATTTTACGTCAACCACGTGAAAAGTTTCCAGAGGATCCTTCTCCAATTCGTGAAGGCGTCGCTCCTTTGAAAGATGCCAAAAAGGATGGTGTCCCTCCTGATGCACGTTGGACCAAGATTGCCAGGAAATTGGTAAACCCTGCCGCTCTAGAGGTTGGAAAAGAACGATTCGAAGCTCGGGATGATTTCGTGATTGTGCTTAGAGTGTTGAGTCGCGAAGAAATTCAAGCTTACGCGACTGCCACTCAACAAATTCGAGGTATGTTCCATCCCATGCATCAATAGAATGATTAAATGGCTAACCAACTTTACAGCCGCTAGAGAAGAAAGAGAAGAAGAGGCAGCTCGTGAGCGCCGCCGCGCAAGACGCGAAGCCCGCGAAAGACGTAATCGTAAACGAGAAGACCATGGTAGAAGCCGTCAACATTATAGCGAATCGGATACTTCTGAATCCTATGAAGATGATAGACCAAGAATGTTGGAACAGGCTCCTCCTGGTTCTAACAAGAGACCTGTTTTTGGTGATGATGCACAGATGAGTGGTGGACTTGGTGAGAGAGATAGGGTTGAGGTTGGGAGATGATGAAATGATGAAGTGATTGAAGTGAAGCACCATTAGCGATCATTGTTGGCAGCGTTCACAGAGCGGTATGTTATCACGACATTTGATCTTCGATTTCAACGAATAGAATTTTGGTTTCAGGGATTACGGCAATGGGAATGAATCGGCACGGAAAGGAAAATACAGGAATGGAGGGTAGTGGAATCATTTATTCAAATAATGATAGCAGAGAGATGTGTGTAAGAAAGTGGAATTTTGTAGTATATAGATGGGAATACTTTTTAATGGCTATGGATATGTATGGATTTGCTACTGGCTGGCTGGATCTGAGGAGGCTCAATATCAGGATGGGAGAAGTGGACAGTGAGCGTGCGAGTTTGTTTGCATTAACGGAGCGTGGCATTTTTTTGGGAGACGGTAATTATGATGATGATGATAAGATAGATGGGTGGGTGGGTGGATAAACAAATAGATAGATAGATACCTATGTAGCTTGGGATAGCTTGATTTGATATGATATGATATATTATGAGATAATCTTTTGTTTTGCTTTTACTTTTCTTTTGACTCTGTATTTGTGTTGGTATTTGAACTTGAGTTTGAGTTTGTCTTTGACTTTGTGTTTGAATTTTCAGGGTTATAGAGTGTTTGGATATTTGGATGCTTGGGTGCTTGGATGCTTGGATACATGGATGCTTGGGTAGTGTAGTCTAGTATAGTTTATAAATGAGATGATTAGGTTATAGACTGATGTGATGTGATGATTGATGAGGAGATGATGGAATTTGAGATGTGAAATGTGAAACTGGGTAAAGATACCTAGCTATGTGGGTAGAGAGCTATGGTATCAGATTCGGATTCGAAAATTCGTTATAAATGAAAATGGAAATGGGAATGGGAATGAGAATACAGCTTTTGATTGAATGAATGAATGGGTAAGTAAGTGAGTGGGCGAGTGAGTGGGTGAGTGGGTGAGTAAATCTTTTGTGATATTTTCTATAGATAGATATGTAGGTGTGGAGGTGTGTAGGTGGTAATTTTCGCTATACTATGCTATGCTATATGAACCTATCTATGAACTCATTTTTTTTACGCCCCTACTTCTTCTTACTTCCCCTCCCGCCTCTCCCCCCACTACTCTTTCCCTTATCCCCCTTTGCCTTCGCGGCCGCGGAGCCCCCTCCCATCATAACCCGCACTTTCCCCACGGGCACAACATTCGTCGTTTCCTCCGGTTTCCACCCTTTGATTAAATCCATTTCTCTCGGCCAGATTCTTTCCACATCCATACTCGATTCATCAAGGACTCCCTTCGCCGCACTTGCCGCCATCCACTTCCCAAGAATTTCTCTCACCGCTTTACCCTTCTTCTGCGCGCCCGGCTGAATTTTCGCTTTATATTTGTATTTTCCCATCGCAGCCCAAGGTGCACAAACCGGTATCGCCTCGAGGATTTCATCGCCCGGTAAAGGGAGACCGACAAAGGAGTCTAACAATGTCATGGTTTCAATCTCATTATCTTCATGAGTATCGATACCATCTTCCAGCATCAATTTGCGCATCTCTTCATGCTCGGCTGTTTCTTTCTGCGTACGTTGATGTTGAGCTCGTCGACGTTCTTTTTGGAATGCCAATTCGGCTTCTCGAGCTGCTTTAGCTTTAGCTTCTGCTTCTGCTTTTTCTTGACCGGCTGCAGCTCCGATGATTTCTTGAGCAGCGATACGATCTTCTTCATCTTGGTCTTTGTATTTCTGTGCGATTTTCTTGGCCTTTCCTTTCTTGCCTCGCTTAGCTGGTGCAGGACCCTTTTTGGGTGGGTTCTGAGCGGGTGTTGCTTTTTTGCCAGTGGAGATAGACTGTGATTGTAACTCCTCGACCGAATCTTCGTCTGATTCCTCCACTTGTGGTTCAGATCCTGATGGCTGAGGCTTCTTGTCATCGATTTGAAGGGTTTCAAGCTTCTCTTGTGTGGCAACTTCATCAGGTTGTTCTACTTCACCCTGTAGAGGGTTAGGCTTCGAATCGGCATCTTCATCGTCCGAATCATCCACGTCTTGATGATCAGCCTCAACTTCTTTGGTGGGACTTGGCTCATCTTCATCAGATTGGTTTAGTTCGTCCCCGGAACCTTCATCGTCAAGAAGTGAATCACCTGCCGGAGGAGCATCTGTAGTTGTGCCACTCGATGGCGAATCATCTTGAAGTCTGTGCTTCACATGTCTAGCTTTGCTCTCATCGCTGATTTGGAAAAGGACCCCAAAACCAAGCAGGAGCTGAGCAGGAGGTAAGAAATTCTTCTTCCCATGGGTATTGAAGCTACCAGCGGGAAGAAATTCGCCGGTAGGGGCAGATTTTGATACTTGATCTGCAGTCACCCACCAAGCAGACATACCAGCTTTTGAATCCCAAGCACTCGATGTAACAACTACCAAGGTTCCCGCTTGGCTTAGAGTTTGTGGAGGAATTGGGGCATCCGGTGTTTTTGGATTGTTTCTAACAATGACGGATGCTGCACCTCGTATATCTGCATGCAAATATATATCGCCTTTCTTAAGATATCTCTTATAAAGAATTTCGCTTTGTTGTGCATCCTTTCCTGCAAGTACTAGATATCCATCACTAGATATAAACCAAATGAATTTCTCGAACCACATCTGTTTTCGTACAGGTCGTAAGATCGCCTTCTCTTGCTTTAAGCCCTTCTTTAGATCCTGAGCTATTTTCGCCTCAGTACTCTTCAACGCCTTGGAAGATGATTGCAAGGTTTTGTCCTCTTTTGACGCTGCGGAACGTTTTTGATCAAAGTAATTACGCGCATTAGCCCAAGGTGACAATGCAAGATCAATGTCAATAGGAATCCGGGTGTCCGAAACCTTCTCCTTTTTCTTATTGGTCTTAGCGATGTTATCCTCGTCTTCACTTTCGGAGACATCACTGTCAGTCTCGTAAGTAGAATCTTCGTCTTCGTCAAACGCCTCCTCATTCAATAAAATTGTTACTGTATTCTCTTCCAATTTTAGGGGCAATTTAATCATCGAAGCTACCGGATTATTGAACTTTTGTTCTCTTTCGATTAGGCGTCCAATTTCAAACCAATCCATGCCTTGCGCGATCAAGCCATTAACAGCATCTGTTACTTCTTGAACCCGCTCAATATTAGCTTGTAAAGCACCGGCTTTACGTTCATTTAGTGCCTGAATCTCTTGTAATCCGCCTAAACGTTTGGCCTGTTCATTTCGTGCCGCCTGGATTTTCTTTTGGGCCTGCTTTTCTCTCTCCTCGAGTTTTGACTCGAGCTTCTGCCCCTCAATTGAAGAGAAGAACTCATCAACAGTTTTGTTGAAACCTTCGAACTCTAAAAAGACCAAGGAAGGATCGTCCTGGAATTGCTTTGGTTTAAATGGATGAAAATCATCATAAAGTAAACCTTTGCGAATCTCTGTCTGATCTTCATCCGATGGAGCCTGAGGGTCCTTCTTCTTCGCTACAATGTAGCCCTTTGCAGTTTCGGAACTAGTTATTTCTTGAACAACTCGTTGAGCTTCTTGGAGTGATTTCATCAAATGATCCAAGAGATCTTCACTCTGCAAAACTTCGGCCGGTTTTAGAGAGGAATTGAAATTTGTGATGCGCATTGCATGGTCCACTAGCATCGGTGGAAATTCTGTGATGGACACAGCCAATGCCTTTCGTAATGCATCTCCAGGCTTCTTCTTCTTCTTTCCAGAATCATCCTCTCCCTTATCCACCCCTTTTTGTAAAGCTTCTTGAAGTCGTTCTTTCGTCAAATCAGGTATTCCTCCATAATTCTGACGATTATCCAGAGAGTATTTAAGTCCAACTCGTAATTCTTCTTGAGCCTCTCCCGGATCGACCACTCGAAGTAAGGTTAGGATGTTAAGCTCCTTATCCGTAAGAATGATATTGCCTCCCGCATAAAACTCCAAATATAACCTGTATTGTCCATCACTGAATTGAAATTCGATTATGCGATCTGTTCCAATTTGAGAAACCTGTGTGACTCGTCTTGTCTTCAAGTATTTCCTTAATCTTTGTACAAATATACTAGGAGCGGCTGCAGTCGCTCGAGAGAAATCGGTGAGATGACATCGAAAGCCAGAATCTATGAGGATCTGCTGTTTATTGTCCGGTTTCGCAAATTTAATCAAGAAAATCTTCGACGACAAGTCGTAAATATTGGAAACGCGCAAAGTAACCAATGCATTTGAAAGTTCATGGGCGATGACCTGAGAAAGTTAGAAGGTATTGCAAGAGCGGGAGAGGTCTGTTAAAGCTTTATTTGACTTACCTTCACGTCGATAGAAGAAAATCTTTGCTTCATCTCGTCGTAGTGGCAATAATTGTATTTTTGCTCTTTCTATGTTTACTCACTGAGTACTATATTTTGCTATGGTGGGGGAAGTTGAGATACAATTCTGCGCTGAAAGTAATTGAGGTACACCGTACCCTTACATCACCTTGATTGCATCATGGTGGGGCTGAATCATCATCACTCACTCGTTCTAACGATGACGAGGAAACCTCACCGGAAACCTCGCCATCGCCGTTCACATTTAATTACTGAACTTCATCAAACGTTGATTAGTTTTGTCGTCACAAATATTTTCAAACCATCTCCAAAAATCAGGTACCAAGTTCTTGCTATTAAAACATCGAAAATATCCGAGGGACCACGGTGAGCGACAGTCAAGCATGGATGGTATATATATAGTCAATATCCATATCCTTCAGATGGGTATTGACTGGCAGATAAACACAAGCTTTTGACCCTCGGAATTGCAGTTGAATGGCGACGATAACACGAGTTTCTTTCATCCAGGTGATGATCTACTGAATCTGGAACAATCTTTTGGTGATTACCACGAAAATACCGTTATCTATTGATAGCGGGTGGGAGCGAATGAAATTTCGAATCTGCTTAATCAAAGTTTGGTTCAATGATGCAAGATGGTCAGGAACTTGAGATAACTTCCCAATTCAGAAGGATACATAAGTACTGCATGGTACCAGCGTTGAGCATGTCAGGTTACCTTCCGGATTGACAACAAGTGTTGCAGGGTTCGTAATACCTGTCCATCGTTTGGGCAATGCCCCTCATATCTTCACAAGAGCTTAGAAAAGTACATAAGCTTTTGTCTGTAGGTCTTGCCCCTGATGTTTGCCAAGCTCGTTTGTTCGTTCGTTCAATCAAAATGCGTTTCCATCATTGTACCTCAATTGTATTATCCGTTCCTGGAATTATTGCTGCTGTTCTTCCGAACTCTGACATTCGTTCCACTCGTTCATCATTTGTTTCCCATGAGAAGCGAAATACACCTCATACACAATGGATGAAACGTGACCGGATTGCGAGCACGACTTTACTTCCTGTGCGTATTGGGTTATCCCAGGGTAACCTCGAGAAGGGACATGACTTTCTTATGGATGTGTAAGTAGTTCACGA